GAAGGGCCTTAGAAGAGGGGATGTCAGAGCTGGGAGGGACTTAGAACAAGGGATGTCAGAGCTGGTCTTACCACCGGATGTCAGAGCTGGGAGGGACTTAGAACAAGGAACGTCAGAGCTGGGAGAAGCCAGAACGGAGACTGTCAGAGCTGAGAGAAATCTTAAGGGTAATTTAGTCCAACACTTGCATTTAACAGATGAAAAAACTGAACTTCAAAGAGAAAGGTTAAGTGACTGGCTCAAGATCACACAGCTAGTAAGTAGCTAAGTTGGGATTCAAACCCAGGTCCTATTACGTATAATCCTGTGCTCCAAGGAATCTGAGAGCTGTCTTCAAGCATCTGAATACCAAGTATCATATGGAGGAGGGCTTAGCCTTGTCCTGTCTGACCATGTGGGGTAGAGCCAGGAGCAGCACATAGAAGCTGAGAAGGGACAGATTTAGGTTTGATGTCAGGAGACCCTTCCCCACAGCAGGAGCTGATCTAGAGTGTCTGAGCTGCCTGGGAGCTAATGGGTTCTTTGTGCACGGAGGTCTTCGAGCAGAGGCTAGACGGCCACTGGTCAGCGATGTTTTCGTTGGGATCCTTTCGGGGATAAGAGCTGGACTCTGAGGTCCCTGAAAACCGTGTCTCGTCCCTCGTGCCCAGCCCTGCTCCGTACATAAAGGGTACTGAATATGGATATACTGCCACTCAGTAAATGTCTGTCAGGCTTGCCCTTCCTGAGCTGTGTGATCTCGGGCAAGTCACATGATTCAGAAACCCTCCAACGCCATGGAAATATGAGTTAGTATCATTGGTAAGACTCTAAAAGTAATAGCCATCGCCCAGGAGCTTCAACATTACTCTGTCCCTTCCTCAGCCCCACCCGCAGCTCCTACGGGCCAGGGCCCGGGTAACACTCACCTGTTCGTGGTGTTCGATGCCCATGCTGACCGTGTTCACCAGGATGGCAATCATGATGCCTCGGCTAAAGTACTTGCTGTCCACGATGCCCCTCAGCTTGGCCCTCACCTCCCGCCATACATCCCCACACAGCCTGGCTGCCCCACTGCCTTTCTCTCCCTCCTCTTCCTCCTTCTCCAGGTCCAGGGTTCCTTCACTGCTCCCTCCACCTTCCCCTTCTATATCGTTGGCAGAGCCTTCCTCCGGCCCAAAGTCATCATCGCTCTCTGCCAGGGACAGATGTTGATCTCTCTCTTGCCGGCAGTGGGGGCAGTTGCCAGGGTCGGAGATCTGCGTCACAGAGATAGGCTGCACAAGGGTATGGGGTGGGTAATCCAGGGGAACATGTTTCTGGCACAGCCCTGTAAGGCAAGGAGAAGAGGGTATGGTCAGGTTTGCCGGCCCCTTGTGGTAGACCAGTTCCCAAAAGGCCCACAGAGAAAGGTCTGGAAATTGAATGAGAATCCACTCACAACAGAAAGAATGATAATTCAACACCAAGTCTATGCACATTTTTCAAGAACCTACTCTGTGAGGAATCCTGGGCTCAGTGTTGGGGATGCAAAGCAAGCTCTTCTCTCAAGGAGCTTATGATCTAACAAGTAGAAGAATGAGTCCACAAGTAGCTACGACACAAGGGAGAGTGGGATCATCTAAAGGGAAAGTTCTAGACCAGGAGAAAGAAAGGGAATAAACATTTATACGGTACTTCCTATGCGTCAGGCATCAGGCCAAGCGCTCTCTAAGAATATTACCTCATCTGATCCTCACAACTCTGCAACTGAGGTGCTATTATTTGAGGAGGCAAAAGTCAGTTGTCTTGGGTTTGAATCCAGCTCTACTTACTAGTTGTATAACCCTGGGAAAATTACTTATGATCCTTGAAGACACAATCCTAGGACTTTCATGTGGAGGGATCAGGGAATGCTTCATGGAGGAAGCAGCTCCTAAGTAAGCAGTACCATAGTATTTTCAATTTAAAGATGGAAGAGACTTTATGGGGCACCCAATCCAACTCCCTTATTTTATAGGCTAGGGTTAGAAGCAGAGGACTAGGAAAATGAAACAACTTGCCCATAGTTGTATGGGTGGCAAGGAGCAGATCCAGGATTTGAACCCAGATCTTCTGATTCCAAATCCAGTATTTTTTTCTACTAAACTACATTTCTCGTTCTCGGAAGGGACTTCAACAAAAGGAGTCCTGGCAGGAGGGCAAGAACATTACGGATATAAGACACAGTGAGAGCAAAGGCACTGAGCCGTCTTCTCCACTCAAAGGCCTTTTGCTCAGGTTCAGATTTCTATGAAGCCACAGAAGCTTTTCTCAAGTGGTGTCTCCTGGTGACCTACTTGGCATCTTGTTGCCATAATCAGGAGGGAAGGAAGAGAAGAAGAAAGAGAGGGAAGAAGGAAGGAAGAGGGAGGAAAGAGGTAAGGAGGAAGGAAGGAAGGGGGCAGCTTCTTGTCACACAGCTTAATTATAACCAACAGCCTTAAAGAGGACCTCAGACTTTTCCCACTCTGGACTGCCTATAGGTAGTGTACCTAAGCAGGGAGAGCCCAGGATTCTAGGCTCCATCTCCTAGGCTGGCCTTTACACTGTGACTCCAGTACTAAGTGTGTTGACAGAGAACACCAAAGGTCTGGGAATGATGACTACGTATGGGCAGCAAGCTCAGCACCAGTTTTGTCCCTGGCAATACCTTACACTGTCAGAGGTCAGGGAACTTTGGCTCTCATGCTTACAAATATCTATAGTTTGGGGAATTCACTTAAACTATCACTCGTTGGTCTCTTCAAAAATAGCAGCAGCCTCTCCCCTGATTCTGGGGACCCTTTTTGGCTTTTTTCCCCCCGGGGAAAAGCATAGGGTTCAGGATTAAGGAATGAAAGAGACTGAAGGCACGTGGATGATTCAGAGGCCCTTCCAGGCCATCTAGTCCAAGCTCTTCACTTTACAGACAAGAAAACTGAGGCACATGGACTTGAAAAGACTTGCCCAGGGTCACAGAGGTTGTAAGCATCAGAGGTCGCATCTCAAGTCTTCCACTGCGTCATTTGACTTCCCAGGCTCCTCTTGTGAGGCTCAGATGAGATCAAGTGTGTAAAGTGATTTGCAAACTTTAATGTGCTACAGAAATGCCAGTTATTGTCATTTTAGGCCCTCGACCATCTGGCTCCAGCCCACCATTCCAGTCTTCTCTCCTACTTGTCCCTCTCCATAGGCACCATGCTTGAGGACCAAGGACAGCTCCCAGTGCCCCAGATGGCGCCTCAGCTTTCCTCCATTCCCTGCCTGGCCTCACCCCATTCTCAGACCTGGATTTCTTTCCCCACTGCCCTCCTTCCTTCCCCTCCACCATCTTCTCTCATAGTGTTCTGTTTTCCTAGGAGACTTTAACAGAACTGATCTGGCCAGGTAAGCAGCAGGAATGCTTCTACCTCTCAAGCCATGGCTCCTCCCTGAGAGCGGGGAACCATTTCACTTCCAGCTCTGTCTCTCCAGCCCTAAGCATACGGCAGGAATTCAATGAATGTTTTGGCAGTCACCTGTAAGTTCCTGTAGTTGGCTTTAAGGTCCTACAAGATGGGGCTGAGGGACTTCTTATCTTTGCATCCCCAGGGCCCAGCATAGCGCCTTGCACAGAATTGGACCTGTGATTTCATGGCTACAAAAAGAGACTCCCAGGTGAGGAAATTCCCTCTTACAATGCATGTTGGCACCTTCTCTGTATCTTAGGGTCCTAGAGAATTGCCAAAAGCACTAAGAGGTTAGGTGGCTTGCCTAGGATCACACAGCCAGATGGGACTTGAACCCAGGCTTCCCGGCTCCAAAGCCAGCTCTCTATCCATGGTGCTTAATAGTTATTTATTGGGGGGCAGCTAGGTGGCACAGTGGATAGCGCACTGGCCCTGGATTCAGGAGAACCCGAGTTAAAACCCAGCCTCAGACACATAACACTTACTAGCTGTGTGACCTTGGGCAAGTCACTTAACCCCCACTGCCCAACCAAAAGAAAAAATTACTTTTTGAACTGAACGACCTTGAGCCTCTGTATTCTGCTGGGCCTCTAGTCCAGTGCAGCACACACAGTGGATGAGGTATAAATGGATGTTGATTAAGTAAACAAATGAATGAATGAGTTTGAAGGGATGGTCATTCTTTCTGGAGTGAGTGGCCTGGGCTTCTGGGGCTTGCTCCCGCACCCTGGCCACTTACTGTCCCGTCTCTGTTCCTTGACATTCCCCGCCTCAGGCTTGGCCCCCACACCAGGCTCCACCTGGCCTTGGTGGCGGCTGCGGAGGGCATGGTAAAGGCCCAGGCTTCGGCGCTTGGCCTTGCGCAGAATGTGGCAGACATACTGGAAGATCTCCTCATAGCAATCCCCAGGCTCTGCGTAGCTGGCCACGGTGCTGGAGGACAGGTACCGCCGGCGCTGCTCCTGCATCAGCTGGTGCTCTCTCTGCTTGGTCTCGGAGAACTGGGTCGCTATGACAACGAGGCACAGGTTGATCATGAAGAAGGAGCCCACCTGTGATCAACGGGGAGAAGAGGAAGGAGAACGACAGAGACAGAGGGGAGAGAGGAGGGGCACAGGGAGAAAGGCAGAAGCAGAGGCAGAGGCCAGAGAGACACACCGAGAGAGACAGAATGCGACCATCAGACCCACATGGGAGAGGAAGGGAGAAAGAGAGAGAGATATCAAGAGATACAGTGAGAGAGTGAGGGATGACATACACAGAAAGACAAGAGATGAAAA